AAAAAAACATCGCTATGGGAAAACATCGCTAAGCGAAACACCATTTCCCATAGGAATGCACTGAAAACCAATGGGAACGGATTACCGTCCTTAAGCGAAAATCGCCATAGGAAACATCGCTAAGCGAAACGCGGTTCTCCCATTGGAATGCATTGGAATGCATTGAAGCCTATTCAATGCATTTCAATGGTTTTGACAGTTCAATGCATTCCAATGAGGGGAAAATTCACCAACAATTACCGAGGACTGAGAACAAAGCCAAATTAAGTTTGCCAAGGTTTTACAAGGTGCACTAACGATCCCAAGCATTTTAAACAGTTTTGGAACATTTTAAGACACACTTAAAATAGCAAAAATGGACATAGCTAAGCGAAACAGGGGGACCTAAACTGTCATCGCTAAGCGAAGCAAGGTCCCGAATATCGCTATGCGAAATTTCTCCATAGGAAACATCGCTAAACGGAGCGCAAGATCGCTCCAAAAACCTCATCGCTAAGCGAATACATCGTTAAACGAGGCAATGGCTAAGCGAGGCACCACTGTATTCACATGTATTTCCAGGGTGTATTTAGCAGAACTGGCCACTAGAGGCAGCCACAGACTTTGCAATCTATAGTGTTTGATACATCCACGTTTTTCGGCATCTGCCGGGAGCTTGAAACTGATTCCCCGTGGATATCGCAATCCTAATGTATACTCTATTCTCTGCGAGTCTTTCCAAGCAACAGCAACCAAAACACAAGGTAGCCATTTTTTTGGCATGCCTCTTCCTTTCTCTCAACTATGTGCACACTGATGGATTGGCAGTCTCCAGAGATGCCTTTCAAGTTTTGTTATGTCAAATACTGCAGAAGAGAGACATCTCTCGCTGATCCCCTCCTCTCCCTGCTCCTTTCGTCCTTCCACGGACCCCCAGGCTCAAATCAGTGACAGACTGATTTTATTGAAAAAAAATTATCTGCCTCTGCATGGAAAAGGGGAGAAGAAGGGAGCCATCTCTTCTGTGGGAAGCAGCTGGGACGGCCCCACTAAGCAATCAAATAGTGTCTGCCCCGTTGTCCCTGAAGCAAGGCTGAGGCATTTTCAGGGCTGAAGTGTTATGAATTCTCTCCACCTTTACTATCTCCCTCAGTCTTTAAAATATCCTTCTCTTTTTTGGGTCCCAACTGGACCCCACAACCTGAGAAGCAAACCCAATTCAGCGAAGAGCAGCTGGGATGAGATGCTGTGCAGTGAAATATGGGAAATGTGGGGGACGAGTCACTGGCCCACCACATGTACCTCATGGCAGCACCCTGAAACACAGGGAAGACAGAGACAAACACACCTCAGTCTTTAAAATATCCTTCTCTTTTTTGGGTCCCAACTGGACCCCACAACCTGAGAAGCAAACCCAATTCAGCGAAGAGCAGCTGGGATGAGATGCTGTGCAGTGAAATATGGGAAATGTGGGGGACGAGTCACTGGCCCACCACATGTACCTCATGGCAGCACCCTGAAACACAGGGAAGACAGAGACAAACACACAGGGAAGACGACGAGTCAGTGGCCCACCACATGTACCTCATGGCAGCAGCCTGAAACACAGGGAAGACAGAGACAAAAACACAGGGAAGACAGAGACAAAAACACGGAATACAGAGACAAAAACACAGGGAAGACAGAGACAAAAACACAGGGAATACAGAGACAAAATAATGACCCATCAGACTCAATACACACAGGAAGACAGAGACAAAAACATAGGGAAGACAGAGACAAAAACATAGGGAATACACAGACAAAATAATGACCCATCAGACTCAATATTCTCTATATTGCCTATGATCTTGTATGCAACTGGCACTCTAGGACTCCCCAAGGGCTGTACCAGTCATTTCATCAAAGGGATTCACATAGCTTGCACCAATCTTGCCATTATCCTTCATGCTATCCACACAACGTTCCTCATATCCCACTCCATACAGTGCTTTTCTCTCTGATTTCCCAGTCCTCCTTCATTTGTCCGGAAAGCTTGATTTATTTTTGGCATCACATTGTATTAGGGGAAGACATTTCCATTTGATGTCTGAACTAAGAGCCTCTGATCTTTTTGTAAGTGCTCCAAAAAAAGGGTGGGGACTGTGGCAGGGAAGCTCTAGCTGAGATGTGGATTTCTTAAGGATTTTTTTTAAAGGCAGTGGATTTTCAAGAAAATGTTTGCATGCAAATCCTGATAAAGTCTGTGTACTTCCGCCACAGAGAAGCCCCCACAAAGAGGGAGTGGGAAGATTATCTTGAAGAGCCCTAACTTTGAGAAATGAAAAGAGAACATGAATCTAATGAACTTCTTGGATTTTAGACTGGGAAGATAATGTTTAATCTGGAAGAGCCCTAACTTTGAGAAATGAAAAGAGCACATGAATCTAATGAACTTCTTGGATTTTTCTATTCCTTTCAGGAAAAAACATTTAAAACTTTATCCACATACATTCTATATATTGCAAACATTTCTACTCTGAAATTGAGGAGGGTTGGATTTCATATATTTGAAGCATTTATAGGATTGACTCCCTTGTGTGACATTTCTGATAATTCATATTTTAAAACATTTCTATGCTTTCTTTGATCGACAGACTCTCTGGCATTTAAAGGGGCTGTGATTTCCAAAGGAAAACATTTATGCAATCCATTTATTCCTCAAATGCATAGTCCACCCTTCATTTTATGGTCTGATGGCAAGTTATACATTAATAGCTTGGTTTACAAAATTAATACGTTCTCCGGAACGTTACATAATGCAGAAATTTTGTAAAACGAAACATGGATTGCTGTAGCAACAGTGGCGGCGCTACAAACCTCCAGGCGCAGGGAAACCTGCGAAGGAAACCAAAAAAAACCCCTGTAAACCTAGGCATTATTTCGAATGGATTTTCGTTTGTAAACTGGAAATTATGTAAACCAAGGTGTACATAAACCAAGGTACTACTGTATTTGTATCAACAAAACACTGTAGAACAGGATAAAACTACAAGCTTATTTAGGGTTATAAAACCAAGGACTCTCCAATGTATATTAAAGACCGATTTTTATGAGAAAGAATTCCGCGATTCACACTTTTGAGAATCTGGATGGATCCTCACAAGTGCTATAAAGTCTTGGTTTGGAGCAAAAGCTGGGTATTCTGATGACGATATTATGATTTTCTGAGAAAAACATTCCCCACACGCCAAGCATTGATCAAACCTCTCTGAGTGCATTTTTTGGTGGAAAAAGAAAATCAATCAATAAATGGAGCATTTCCTCTTTACAGCCTTTCCAATGTTTGGTTAATGATATATTTCTGAAGGAAATATGTCCTACATTCCTAACACTTATGGGGTTTCTGTCTGTTTGGTCTCTGTGGTGTACGTGAAAGCTCAGTTTCCATAGAAAACATCTGCCACACTCCAAGCATTTATGGGGTTACTTTCCGAATCGGATTCTCGCTTATCTACAAAGCTAGTGTTTACAAAACAGTCGTTCCTAGGAGACATATTTCCCACACACCAGCTGTTCATCTGATTTGTGTCTTGTGTGGACTCCCCCAGGCCAACCAAGCTTTGATTTTGTGAAAAATAATGTCCCATATTCCAAGTGTTCACAGGGTCCCGTTTTATGTGGACTTTCTGGTGCGTCACGAGGCTTGACTTTTGGGAAAAACATTTGCCACACTCCAAGCACTGGTAGGGTTTCTCTCCTGTGTGGACTCTCTGGTGCACGTGGAGGTAGGATTTCATAAAGAAACATTTGCCACATTCCAAACACTGGTGGGGCTTCTCTCCAGTGTGGACTCTCTGGTGTATATGGAGGTACGACTTCTCACGGAAACACTTGCCACATTCCAGGCACTGGTGGGGTTTCTCTCCTGTGTGGACCGTCTGATGCCTTCGAAGGAGCGATTTATTGGAAAACGACTTGCCACACTCCAAGCATTTGCTGGGTTCCTCTCCCGTGTGAGTCCTCCAGTGTTCATCGAGGCTGGACTTGAGAAGAAAACACTGCCCACACTCCAGGCATTTGTGGGGTCTCTCCCCCGTGTGGCGCCTCTGGTGCACGCGAAGATACGACTTGTCACGAAAGCATTTGCCACACTCCAGACATTTATGGGGTTTCTCTCCTGTGTGGAGCCTCTGGTGTATATGCAGGTAGGACTTCTCGCGGAAACATTTGCCACACTCCAGGCATTTATGGGGTTTCTCTCCCGTGTGGACCCTCTGGTGTTTGCGGAGCTGTGATTTATGGGAAAAGCATTTCCCGCACTCCAAGCACTTATGGGGTTTTTCTCCCGTGTGAATACTCTGGTGTATTTCGAGGTTCTTTTTCCGAGGAAAACACTTCCCACATTCCAAGCACACATGGGGTCTCTTTTTGGGGGTGGTCTCATTGCTCCCTAGGTCTGGGTGTTGAGGAAATAGGGTCCCACTTTCCAAGCATTCAAAGGGTTTTTCTTCCAGGTGAACTCGCTGATGCTTTTCAAGGTTCGATTTCTCGACAAAACATTTCCCACACTCCACGCACTTGAACATCCTCACTCCGGCATGGACGCTCTGGTGTGTCACAACCGCCGAACGATGGCCGAAGCACTCTCCACACTCCCAGCACTGATAGACTTTCTGCCTCATGTGGATCCTCTGGTGTTTGTGAAGGTTTGCTAACTGTGAGAAATATTTACCACACTCCAGGCATTTATGGGCTTTCTCTCCTGTGTGGACTTTCTGATGCCTGTTCAGGTATGGTTTCTTGAGGAAACACTTCCCGCACTCTAAGCATTTGTAGGGTTTCTCCACCGCGTGGACTTTCTGGTGTATACGAAGGTGTGCGTTCTGAGGGAAACACTTCCCGCACTCCACACATTTGTAAGGCCTCTCCCCTGTATGGGTTCTCTGGTGGATGGTAACGTGAGATTTCTCCGAAAAACACTTCCCGCATTCCAAACACTTGAATGGCTTCTCCCCTGTGTGGACCTTCTGGTGTCTGTGAAGGTGCTGTTTCTGGGAAAAACACCGTCCACACTCCACACATTTGTAGAGGCTCTTCTGCGTGTGGATCCTCTGGTGAATGACCAGTTGAGACGGTAAAGCAAAACCTTTCCCGCACTCCAGACATTTATGGGGTCTGTCCCCGTTGTGGACTACCTGGTGTCTCAGAAGCACAGACTTCTCAGTAAAACGCTTTCCACACTTGAAGCATTCATAGGGTTTCTCTCCTGTGTGGATTCTCTGGTGACGCACCAGTTTGGTGCGGTGGAGAAAACATTTCCCGCACTCCAAGCACATATGGGGCCTCTCTCCTCTGTGGATAGCTCTCTGGTGGCACACGAGAGAGGCGTGCAGAGAGAAATGTTTCCCACACTCCAAACATTTATAAGGTTTCACCTTCTGATGGACGGGCCAATGAACCTGGAGCTCCGCGCTGTTGGCAAAACATTTCCCGCACTCCCAGCATTTGTATGGATTTTCGGCCGCGTGGAGCTTTTGGTGGTTTGAAAGGAACAATTTGTGAGCAAAAGTCTCTCCACACTCCAAGCATCGATGGGAGGTCTCTTCCCTGTGCTCGGTCTGACTCTCAAGTTCTGAGCTTTGATCAAAGCGGTCTCTGAATGCCGAACTTTCCGGGGACTCCTCTCCTACATGGATTCTCTGATGCACAGCGAGAGACAGTCTGCAGGCAAAACCTTGACCACACTCTGGACATACACGTCTTTTCCTGGAGTTCCCTGCCAGAAGGAAAACAGGTAAAACAAGATTGATTATTCCAAACTTTGATGCTAGAGAAGTGATATAAAGTAAAATGAAAAGGCAGCTAGACCAACGGTTATGTAATAGTATAAGAACCCCATATCTGTAGGGGACTGGTTCCAAGCCCCCCGTAGATGCCAAAAACTGTAGATAACAGTGAACACTATACAGTCGTGCCCCGCTTAACAATTACCCTACATTACGACAAATCCACTTTACGACAATGTTTTTGCAATCACAATTGTGATCGCAAAACGATGGTCTAAATGGGGTAATTTCGCTTAGTGATGATCGGTTTCCTGATTTGGGAACCGATTTTTGCTTTACGATGATCAAAAACAGCTGATCGTCGGGTTTTCAAAATGGCCACCAGGTGCTTAAAATGGATCCCTGCTGTGCTTAGGGACGGATTCCTTGCTATACAGGCACTGAAAATGGCTACCGTATGGAGGATCTTCGCTGGACGGTGAGTTTTTAGCCCACTGGAATGCATTGAACGGTTTTCAATGTGTTTCAATGGATTTTCACATTACGACGTTTTCGTTCTACAGCGATTTCGCTGGAACGAATTAACGTTGTAATGTGAGGCACCATTGTAAATCATGGGAATACATGTTTCTGGGTTTTTAATTTTAATTTAAAAAAAATTTCAGACCAAGTAAGTGAAACCACTGATACTGATTCCTGTGGATACAGTGGTCCGACTATATGTGGAGCTCTTAATATATAAAATATTATTCTAAAACTTATTTTGCTAATACATAGCCAGTACTAGCTTCAGAGCTTGGAAACGATGCATTAAAGTTCATGTGTGACTGGCCAAAAATCTTATTGGCCATTTATATTTTCATGGGACATTGGATGAGTCTTGGTGGGAAACTGGTACTCATTAACAAGGTGGTGATTGCGTTCCTGCTGTAGACCCGATCACGTGACTGGGTGAAACAACCAGGAAGAGTCACCAACGCCTTGTTAACAAGTACAGTACTGATTTGCTACCAAGACTTCCACAATTTTCCTTCAAATCGCTGGTAAGATTCTAATCACCATTAAGTTTATTACTATTTTTTAAAGTCAAATGGGAGAAACTGCACAATTTTCTCTGGCACCCCATAATTGCCACTGTACATTGTCTTCTTGGGTAAAAAGGCAAGTACAGACTTAAGTTTTCGGAATGGGGCAGTGAATAAAAGCTATAAGAAAAAGGCTGTCAACGAAAACAAACAGTACAGTTTCTATCTTTCACTTCTGTGGATGTGATCATACAGAAATCTGTAATCAACCTTACACTATGACTAGAGCAACCATCCCGGCTGAATTGCTCAGTGAACTGGGTACATGGCTATGGAGCCAGAGATTGGGAGTTCGATTCCCCACTGGGCATCCTGGGAAAAGAGCCAGCCTGGGTGGCCTTGGGCCAGCTGCACAGTCACAGGGCTCCCCCTAGAGGAAGGGAAGGGGAAACCACTTCCAAGTACTCCATCGCCAGGAAAACCCCGCAAAATGGTTGCCAGAAGTCGGAAAAGATGTGACAGCATGTAATTATTATTAGAATAAGCACATTTATGTGTTTGTTTGTTTGTTTGTTTGTTTATTTGTTTGACCTATATGCCGCCCACACTACCCGAAGGTCTCTGGGCGGCTTACATATACCTACATGTGTGTT